CCGCAGCGCTGGAAGCCGGCCTGCGAGCGTACAGCGCCCTCCACACGCACGCTCGAATGGCGGCCGGTCAGACGCTCCTGGTGGCGGACGGCGCCAGCGTACGTGCCTCCCGTCTGCTGCGACCGCGATGAACAATGCACTTTTGTTTAGACCTCCTATGTGTGTGTTTTTTTTTCTTCTTCCCCCACTCAGCCTTTTGGCCTGATGTGCATTCAGCTGGCGTGCTACCACGGCGTGAAGGTACTGACCACGTCGCACTCGCAGCAGCAGCACACCTTCTTGGAGCAGCTAAGACCCAGCGTAGGTGCGTACGCGCACTCGCTGTGTCTGACTTCTATCATGGCAGCGCTGGGGACGAGTTGTGAGCACATCTGCCTCGCAGTTCTTCCAAACGATAAAAGAAAATGGATGGTTTGATGCACGAAGGGTTTTCATGACAATTTGTGAGTTGTTAAAGGGCAACTCGAGGCAAACATTTTCTTTGCAACAATCTGTTTTATGCGGGCCCATTAGAGTAACGCCATGTTCTGATTCACGTTACGTTTGCGGAACAAGAATTAAGCAGATTGGTCCATCCGTTGAAGTTGGTGTCACAGTGCCCTCGGGCTCGCATTGCAAACGTCACCTGACCAAACCAAGTCGACAAATGAGCGATGCGAGTCCGAGGGCACTTTTGAGGTCAATTTCAGTGGGCATCAGACGACGCGTGGATGACATAAACCCTCGCACGGTGGTGCCGCTTGTTCAGCAAATGTTAGATGTTGAACTGGGCACACAACAATCGACTAGCTAAAATGTGTTTTTTGTCCCACCAGTGAGGGTGATTCCCGTCTACAAAAACCCATCGGAGCTTCTTCCGGCGGTCATGGAGGAGACGGGGGGTCTGGGAGTGGACATAGTTGTCGACCAAGGAGGTACGTATTTTGGAAAAAAACATAACAAATAAAACATTCCGATATATGTATGTCCAGAGGATGAAGTTTGTACTTCTTGATTCAAGTTAGTCTGCAAGAGAAGGAGCATCGAGAAGAGCAGGACAAGGAGGAAGGGGAAGAGGAGGCGACGTTCCACCTACACAAGCATGACATCATCAGTCTGTTGGCAGTCGGGGGCCACTGGGTGACGTCCCACCAAGACCTGCAAGTGAGTGGATTTGCGCTTCTCATTTGTTCTGTGAATTGGCACGATCTTCACTGGAGTCTGCCCTATTGCACTTTTTTTTTTTTTTTTTTTTTTTTGCTAAAGGGTTAGAGCACCACCACGTTTCCCCCATCAATGGTGTTTTGCATCGTGTGCTAGCAATTAGTGCTAGCAATTAAAGTAGCATTTTCCTCTGAAGGCAAAGTTATAGTGAGCCTGGGGTTTTTAGTCGGCAAAAAAGGGGCGTTCACGCTCGGTCCATCTCTTGTTTGGTTGCAGCTGGATCCCCCCGACAGCAGGTTGATGTTCTTGAAGTCTGCCTCCGTGTCGTTCCTCAATCCTCAAGTGTGGTTGGCGTCCTCATCCCAGCAGGGACGATACCTGCGTATCCTCGGCTAAGCGCGTGCGTGGAATTTGAGCCGGCACTCGGTATGACATACGGCTGTGCTCTCTTAACAACCCGCGGGCAGACATTCTCAGGGACATCATGGAGAAGATGTCATCCGGAATACTCAGGTACGCAAGGCGGAAATGTTCCCGTCATTGTTGGAAGAAGTGAATGCTCCCAGCGGGTCGAGCGTACTGTGGAAATGACGACCTCACCAAACATTTACAGCAATGTCTCTCATTTTAATCTATGTTGCATTTGAATCTTATGTATGCTCAAACAGTCCACGTTGGTATTCGTGCCCTCGATCAGAACTTTGTTTTTAGCTCATCTACTCACCGACGCGTTGAACGGCTGTACGGGTTGAACCTTCTATCACGTGCTGCCCCCTGTTGGTGTGGAGTACCACTTAACTATACCAAATGACTTGAGTTTCTAGAGCGCGTTCCATCAACAGCTGCAGCTGTAACAAAGCGTTTTTACGGACAACATCAAAGAACAATAAAGTGACAACAGAGACAGTGAAAACATTCAAGTGAAACACAAAACGAGTGACACTAACACAAAACACAGTCGACATCACTGACAGGACTAAATATCATGATTACAATAATTGTGAGATCCACATCCTTTCGAACGGTGGTGGATGAACAAAATCATTTACATGTGATGGAACTCGCTTTCTTCTGAAGATGCTTTTGCGGACTCGTGCCACATTGACATCTGTTCGCGTGTGATCCCTGCAGACCTCAGCCCGAGGAGGCGGTTCCTCTGCAGGAAGCGGCGGCCGCCATGGAGGATGTTCAACTCCAGCGCAAGAAAAAGGCTGTGGTTGAAATGTGATGATTCTCTTTCATTGGACAGCTCTTTGTTAAGCCTTAAGCACTTTTTTTGACGCACGTTGACTGAGTGAGTTTATTTTGATGGGGCCATTTTTTTTTTTTTTTTTTTTGGTTTTCGGGGTGGGGGGGTCTTGCTGGGTTCTCACAGCGTGGCACACAGTGTCCGTGATGCTCTATTCATGAATGCTCAATAAAGCCAATCCAAGAAGAGTCTCTCATAGCTTCTGGTTACTTTCTTCATACGCTTTGGCGTTGAAGCGACAACCGTCTTGTCTGTCTGTCTTCGGGACATCTCTTCACGTCAGCACACGTCGCCCACATCCGGTTGGCTCACCTCACTGAGTGAGGCGCTCAGTGATTCCAGGCATCTTCCCAGGATGCATTTCTCCTCCAGCCGCAGTGACTGGACCAGCCGCAGCTGCTCCCCGAGCCGGAGCTCCCCATCTTGGAGGAGCTCGGAGATCTGTATGGAAAAAAAAAAAAAAGGACAAATGTCAATAATTAAATAGTTGTACTGTGTTGCTGTACTTGAGTACCAGTACCCACACTTCAGTAGGGTAAATTGTAAAGTTGACTCCTTATAGATAGAGGAAATAGAGGTGTTACTCACGTAAAAAAAAACTTTTTAGCAAATAAAATGGTGTTCAGACGTCATCCGAACCTTATCCAAAGCCGCGAGCGTGTCTAGTAGAAGTCTTCGGCACAACGCCTTTGCCGTCCGGAGACTCGTGCGCTCGGCCTCCACGCCTACCGCTTGGCCGCGCAGCACCGCCTTCCACTGGTGGCTACGGAAGGCAGGGAACAACGCAGATTAAGACCGTTGATCCGAACTGTCATGTAGCATCACGGAAGAGGGTCTTTACCGGAGAGTTTGAGGCAGTGACATCAGTCTGAGGACAGTCATCAGCCTCCAGCAGGGACCTTCACTGCTCACACTCAAATTTCTGAGGGACGAGGACGACGCAAGGATTGCATGATGACCGGGCGTTTACGCTAATCATCATCATTATTAAGAAAAGGAGAAGAATGTGTTGGATGCATATGAGTGAGAAGAAGGGAAACGGTCAAGCGTCTGACTTGAGGAAGTTGTTGTCTGTGAGGAACTTCATCTTCTGCTCCAGACTCCTTGGGTCTCCTTTCACAACCTGCCGCAGCATTTCTGCACAACAACAAACGTCTGCATTTCGCCCTTGTTCCAAACAGTAACTTCTGGACTTTATTTTTCTGTTTCGTTCATGTTCGGGTCCACGTGCGGCGTTTGCATATGCATCGTGGGAGGTTGGATGCTTGAGAAGTCGATCTTCAGTCAAAAAAAAAAAAAGGTTCGGCACCCCTGAATATTGCTAATATGACTACTAGTCTGCTATTACTACCACTCTAAACCTACTCTAGTTACTACTGCAGCTACTACCCCGATACCACTGCTCCAAGTCCAAGCCTACTATTGTATCATTATAATTAGGACTTCAGTATCCCACATTCTATCACCTACTGTTGCACCTCCACTTCCAAATCGCATACCACTACTACCAATGCCTACAACTACCACTCTACTAGCAATACAGCTACTACTAAACAACTACTATCAAGGCTACTACTATAATGACTGATCCTATTACCTTAGTACGACTTCGACATGTACCACCGCTACCACGATACTATTAGCACAAGCGCTACACCACCACTCGTACCATTACGACTCCAACTCCCTTGCGCGTACTGTGACACACCTGCGTCCAAGTAGACCACGCTGTGCGGGTTGCCGGCGGCGACAAAGCCGTACTCCAGCAGCAGGCGCTGGTTGTCATGGGAACCGTAGTTGATGAAGGCCTGCAGGAATCGCGGAGTCCCGCCCACGCTCCTGATCTCGTAGCTTTTGGTCTCGTGGTTGAAGCCCGCTTTGACCTGACGAATAAACGACGGTGAAGACGGTGGTACGCATATTAGACAAGGTGACGTCTACCTGCACGTCAGGGCGGTGGTTAAGCAAATCCAAAAAGGGAGCCAGCGCGTAGTCGTCCTGGCCACACAAAAATTGGTTGGACGGGTGACGCATGAAGACGGAGCGGGTGTTGACGCTGCACCACGCCCACCTGGACAACACACCGACATTTTCATGTTTTCTCGCTCGGACATGGGTGGTGCACAGTGACAGGGCCAATGTGCTCAAGTACTGTCGGCAAGTCCAGTTTTTCAGGACCTCAGAGCTTCAAACGTCAACACGTCCTCCACCGGCTGACTGAGAATCGGCTGCAAAGTCCTGAACGGAAACATCACACGTCAGTGACGTGACAAACCCGAGTGCATCCATTTCAAAAGACACGCACTTAAAAAAATCCTGGTTGGACGAGTGCATTTCCCGCACGGCGTCCTTCTGCTCCAAAGCTTGCCGCCGCAGTCCGACGGGCAGGAGAGCCGCCACGTCGTGCGCGAGATAGGCGGGACACGTGTAGGAGGCGGGAAGGGCGCGGATGTACGGGGACCACTCGGCGTCCGCTCCTCTGTGCCGCTCACACACCAGGAAGACGCAGAGAGCCAATAAAGGCGAGGGCCGCGGCATCCAGCTGACCAGACAAAAGTGTTGGGACACCAGAAGGAAGGAGCGATGTGGCATGTCCTCTCAACTCTACCACTATTACTCCTACTACGGTTCTACTTCTAACATACCGCAACTACAGTACTACTCTTTCTACTACTACTACTGTGACTCCTGCCAGTAAGATGTTGACAGTTATGCAGTTTTACCTTTCATAAACAACTACAGTACTACTACTAGCATCATGACTAGTACTACTATTACTACTACAAATCAGCAAGATGACAGCAGAGTTTGCCTGGGGTCCTTCAAGTAGGGAACGAACCTATTTTTATCTCGAAGCAACTGCGTGCATATCAGCGTGGAATACGGTTCATAGCAGTGTTGTAATTACCTCTTGATGTAGCGCCCAAGGTAGCTGTCCAACACGGTGGAGGTTGTAAGCAAACAAGACTCGGGCAGTGAAATCAACAGTTGGTTGGGCTTGGGACAGCAGAGAGCGGCTTTCATCATTTCCTGGTTCTTGGACTCAAATTTGGGGAACTTGACTGGATGGTGACCTCATCTTACCTTTATGCTCCTCAAAGCCTGCAGACCTCGGCCTGTGTCTGAAGAGACAAGCAACAAGTAATCATTCAGCTTTTGGCCACATGAATGGTCCATCGGTCTGTTTCAGATTGAATATAAATTTGTGAAAACCAGGGAAGAGCGCAGGTTGCAGCGGTGTTGACGCAAATCCTCGCTGGTGAAGAAACCTGAGCAGCTCCACGTACTCGGGCTGGTGGCTCAGAGAAACTTGACAACAAGAGGACATATTAGGAGACGTGAAAATATGTGACAACTGTATCGTGCAACAACTTCCATTGACGCAATGACATTTTATACCCGATTGGACCGCGCCGTTGCGCTTTTTCTTCCTCTTCCTTGCCGCTCGTCCACAACCACTCATCACCATGACTGGACTTTGAGCATTAATTCATTTTTTTTAATATATATTGACTAATGACTAAATGGTCTTTCTGGAGCTTATCGTTGACGTTGGGTTTTCATGCTTTTATTTCTGTCGCATTTTCTTACATGATAAATTATTTGTATTCATTTTATTATCAAATACAATGTAAAAGAATCCACAGTGTATTATATATTCACCGTAATTAGGTATTATGAACAGACACCTTATTTTCATCTTAATATGTTGGGGAAAAAAAAGAAGTTACTCGCATCACATTGCATCGATGTGTGTGACGTCATCACGATTTGACGGAACGGCAGTCAGCGCCGAAACTTTTTTAATACATAAAAGTATATTCTACGGTATTTATAACTATGTCCGGCAACTAAACGTTCTTATAAATCTGAGTAACGACGAACACAAATTTATTTTCATGTCAAACGACATGCTACCAGCTTGCCCGTGCGATCTGATTGAGTCCGAAGTTGTTGACGTTACCGAGACGTGCCTGCACGACAGGCACTTTGACGTCAGGATTATTTTAAAACACGACGAAAGCTCAGCGTTACAGTGCTCATTTACCAAATAGGTCGGAATTTGGTCATCTGAACGTAAATGCAAACACGGGAAGCCAAACGCGACGCGAAACCTCACGACGTTCACGTAAATTATCAGCCTACTTAAATTGAAGCCAAATTATGAGTAGAGTAAATACTAAACCTCAATATAAACGTCAGTTAATCAAAGTTATCCATGTAGCTCAGCCATTCACCAATCCTACTTGCGCACATGTGCGAAAGATGCTGTTGTTTTTCCGGGCATGCGCACTGAGATTCTGCGAGGAGGCGGTGCCATGATGCGCATGCCTTGACGTCATTCAGCTAAAATGGCGTACGGGAACAGTGAAAAGGGGAAGATGAGGTTCCCAAACATTCCTCATATTTCCACTTACACTTTGGAGCGCTGCTGGGAATTCTCATCCTGCCCTGGTCATACGCCATGGGAAAAGGAAGAAAAAGGAGAAGACGATTGTTTGTTTGCAGTTCGTTTTGTTCTCACTGGAAAGGGGCAATGTCAAATTGAGAAATCAGAATGTACAAAATTCAATATCTTTTCAAAGTAATACTATATGAGAATGCTGTATATTTTTTCCTCTTAATATTCTATGAAAGATGCAATATTGCCAAAGAGTCATATTTTATTTCTGAAAAAAATATTACAAGAATAAACACTCATAGAAAGAAATCGTATTTGATCATGAAAAAAATACAGAAAAAAATTAAAACTAGTTTTTTTCCAAGAAAAAAAATCCTGCAAAATATATATTTATTTTTTTGTATGTTTCTTTGTTTTTTCAAGATTAGTTGTAAGCATGAATGTGTGAAAACTATGGTGAACGAATACTTGAATAGCAAAGGCGCATTGTTATGGTAGGTTCAGCATTCTGGTTTGACGTCCTCAGTCTTTTTGACAAAAGTTGGTACGGTCCAAGGCAGAGTTGTGGATGTGCTCATCACTTGATGTCCATTGTCATTACCCACATGTGCTCTCATCAAATGTTCATCATAATTAGGCTGACGCTGTATTGTACGGCGCCTGTTGTCGGCGTTTAGCGGCGGCGACGCCAGCGGCTAGCAGCACTAAAACTGTACACTCAAGTGTCCGTCGGATTACTTTTCAAAGGGAGTATAGACGCCAGTGAGAAGCGCCATATAAATCTGATGCCATATTATTAATATTTTGACTCTGCACAGTTTGATGCTGACAGCCTGACACAATTGCCATTCCTACTGATCAGTTTTGAACAAGCCAGTAGCTGGCGCTATGCTGTGGCATCTGCTTCAGAAAGAAAGGCCTTTCTTTACAATTTTTTGGCATAGTGTTAAATGACTTTTTTTTTTTTTCTGAAAAGTACTCGAGGTATCAGTCCATAGTATCGGTGGGTACTAAAAGAGCGAATACTGTTCTGGAAAAAAAGCAGTCCCGAACATCCCTACTTTTAATCATCAGACTCTCTTGTGAGCAGGATATATTTTCTTTCCATTTTTCCTCACATTACCAGATAGATATTGATTGTGAATTGCTCTAGTTGCTGTTAAGTGGTGGAACCAAATACATGGCCTTCTCGATGACCTTTTATTTTGGTGACCTCCAGGCAGCCCTTCTTGTTTGTCTTTGAAAAGTTAAAATTGGACTGTTTAGCCTGATTCCCACCATTATGCTTTCAGTTGGTTTTATTACAAGGGGGTCAGGTGTAAAGAGCGGAACACTCCTCGGAGGCTTCAAGATGAAGGACCACAGTGTTGATTGCGTGCGTCACAAGTTCGAGCCGGGAGCTGAATGGGCCTCGTCGTCAGATGGCGAGGTCATCGGCTCGCGTTCGTCCGCTGGCGCCGCTGGTTTTGCTCAGTCTCCGTTTATCCTTGGGGCAGGCGACGGCATCGGTGGCGCACAGCAGCAGACGCTCGGCGCCGCCGGGATTTTGGATCCGCAGGCAGCCGGCGGCGTCGTAGCAGGCGGCCACGTCGGCGGGGCCGTGCCAGCCGGCCGAATAACAGCTCATCGGCAGCAGGCCCTCGTCGCCGCCCGTGCCCGCCGTCATCTTGTGCTGCTCGGCCGCCATGTTGACCGAGTTCTGTTGGTGGGCCAGCCGGTGGTTGGGGAAGGGCAGTGCCAGGAAGTGCGAGGAGCCCATCACGCATTGGCTGAATTCGGGAGGCGGGGTGGACGGCCGCGGCGGAGGCGGAGACATGTGGACTTGTTTGGATTGAGTTGTCTCGGTGGCGGCCGCCAGTTTCCTGGACACCAAAAAGCGCCTGCAAAGAGGAAGTTTGTCCGTGTGGAAACAGTTTTGTTCTTTATGATTGAAAAAACAAAGATATTCACAACACATTACGTTTGGCGGGAATTAGACTGGCCAACGCAGTTTTTCAACATTTTTTAAATCAGTGAACAAGTGTATTTTTTTCTGAAACTTGATAGGTACAAATAACAACACATAGTAAACTCCATATTTTGCAAGCATTTATAGGTCAAAATTAGAAACAAGAACATCTGCCAAAACCCGGTGTGCTGGAAAATAAGAATTTTTTAAAAACAAATCAGCATGAAAAATATGTTTAGGGTCATGTAAAGCCATCTCTGATTAAAACTTGCTATTGACCAGCGTTATTTGCTTCTGCATGTTCAAATGTGCGGAAACGGCGGCTGAAATAGTAATCGGAAAAAGTTGTAATATAAGTTGTACAGTAATAAGGAAGTTAAAAAAAAAAAAATAGCAGTGTTAATGTTTTCATTTTTCCAATGGATGCCTTTAATGAACAAGCTGCCCGATGAGCAGTCTGGACAGGCGTTCTTCAATGTGCAGTTGATGATGGCCATCAATGCTGGAGCGAGAAATACAGACACGTGTTTCGGCCATTTACCTGCAGCAGTGCCTCCACGCCAGATGGTGGAGCTCCAGCACGCTGAGCACCAGGGACACGCCGGACACGGCCAACATGAACACGATGAAGACGTTCTTCTCCGTGGGCCGCGAAACGTAACAGTTGACCAGGTGTGGACACGGCCAAGCCTAACCACGCACACACGCACGCACGCACAGTGGCACTTATTGGCCGAGGGAAAAAAAACACAACTTGAAAATCAAGTTGTGTTTTTTTTTTACCTTGCACACATAAAGAGGGTTCAAGAATATTCCGTACAGGAAGTACTGGAGGCAGAGAAACACCACCTGCATGGAACAACACATCAACTGCAGTCAGCTACTTTTTATGTTTCTCTTTTACTTGAGACAAATGCATTCATTTTTCACAAATGCTAATCAGAATCGCTTTTTTTGACATTGTGCCACACGAAACTGTTGTCGATGTGTTTTGCTGCACTGTTTGTATTCAAATGTCTGTCGCTCTAAGTATTTTTTGGGTGCAATTGTGAAAATTGCTGCTGTGATGGTCTAATTTCCCTCACAGAATGAATGAAGGATCTATCTATTACTGCAACATCAATCCTAGTTTTGTTAGCCTGTATATTGCATTTGCCATTCTGTGTTAGCTTCAAGCTAGCAGACTTCTGTAAGGCAAAATTATGTGGTTTAGCTGAATAAAGATCCTGTCATCGTTTTTGTTTCATGTTTAGATTGACAGTCCAGCTCTTTTTTGAAGAACTGCTTGCCAGAAACGCAAATGGCGTCAGCGTTTACCTCCATGATGCTCCTGATGAGGATACTCAGCACATAGGTCTGCAGCAGCGCTCCCTTCAGGCGCACCCTGCCCCCCGACGGTCCCGCTTTCTTTCCCTTCCCCGATTCCTTGTCATCCTTGCCGCCTTGCTCCTCGTCGTCGTCGCCCCCTCCTGGGTCATCGTCATCCTCGCCCGCTCCGTCCTCCTCTCGGTTGCACCGCTTCTCCTCCCGCCGCACCGTGTGCATGGCGTGGCCCATGTACACCAGGCTGGGCGTGGAAACGAACACGATCTGCAGCACCTGCCGAGAAGCGCGAGAAGGAACCTCGGTTCACTTAAAATTGTGTACATCTTCAGAGGTCTAGACTCTCCCCTGTTAAGTATTCGGGGATTTCTTCATGAAAGCAGACTGGCAATCCAGACTTGGGGAAGTCCACTTGCGATGCTGCAGACACTTGCACATATGAATTTCCTTCTAGAAATGCCCTGCACTGCACGGTTGCCAATATTTATTCACTCAAACGTCATCAAATCGTTCGATGAATGACGATTACATATTTGAATTGGCTGACAGCCTGAAATTGTAACATTATAATTGATTTTTTTTTTCCCCCAGACATTGACATGCGACGTCCACATGAAAAACCACAAACCGCTTAGCAGTATACTCTCAAGTCCTCTCGACAAAATAATGCATGCAATAAACAAAAATAGACGAACTGTTTCATACCTCCTTCAAGTAAATTGATTGTCTTATTTCACAAAAATATGTCTTAGTCTTTTTCAGACTCTTCTGCAACTTCCACTGAGAACCGAGGCTAAATTTAGCCCCTCTCCCATTTTCCCCCCGCAAAAACAATTGCGCCAGGCTATATCGGACCGTAATGTGTGTCAATGCTGGCAAGCCAAAGTGCTGTTACGTCGCGTACCCAGTATCGTATGTGCGCGATGGGGAAGGCTTTGTCGTAGCAAACGTTCTCACAGCCGGGCTGCTCCGTGTCGCAGTTGAAGTCCTCCTGCTCGTCACCCCAAGACGACTCGGCCGCCGTCCCGAGGACCAGGATGCGGAAGATGAACAGGATGGTCAACCACACCTGCGAGCACAAACCTCCGTGTCACTTTGTTTTGTTTTGACCAAATAGTCCTTCCCATTGTTCGAGGAATATTCTTCATACGTAAGCGCCTCATTTGTGTGACGAAATGACCGCAATTACACCGCAAATAGAACTCCCGGGGGCTTGTCATGGAAATAAAAGTGTTAGCTTAATGCTAACACACAATGTAAAAGACCACCGATGGATAATCGAAATCGAAACTACCGGATATTTGGTGATACTTGCAAACTAAAAGTTTGAACACCGACAGAGCAGTATCAGACTTGGAAAAATAGCCCAATACTCGCACATATTATGTTCAGTGAAAAATGATAAAACGTCTTCCTTGTGTATGTATTATGGACTGTATGTTTTATACTGCCCCCTGGCGGCCAAGACATGCACACAAGCGCACGATGTCCGGTGAAGGCAAGGATAAAATGATCAAGTAAAAACTGATCAATTCTTTACATTCTATTGGATTGCGTTATTACCGAACGCGAACGGATTGAATGTTTTTTACATTCATTTCAATGGGGTAAGATGATCCGA